AAAGTTTAAACACGTTAATGAAGTTAATTTGAGTATTTGATCCTGAAATAAAATTTTCTTTTAAAATTTTCGAATAAAGCTATGAGCATCTTCCTTGCTAATGTTTACCACGTGATACGTGACCTTCTAGCTATCAGTAATCGAAAGTGATGGTTTATTATAAAATTCTTTTACTAATAATGTTATTATTTAAATTACTAAGATTAAAAGTTTTACTATTTTATTACCGTTATATTTAAAGTTCAACATAAATTTTTTTACAGAAGACTGCATAATTATTCTTAGCTTTGTCTATGAGGGTAATTACAAACTTTCTTTGTTGCTTAATTGATCGAACAATTTTAGAAAAATTTGTGGAATTGTTACTTTTATTTAAATGCTCCTTATTATTGAAAGCAAAGTTTTTAAAGTAATAATAAACAACACATTTCAGTTCTCTTTACACACCTAAAGGTAAAGAGATTGATATCTTTAAACAAAAACTGCTGAGATCGTTAAGAAAGTATTCTAGAATTTTATTAATTGATATAGGGTAAATGGGTCTAAATTTTGTACCTTTTATCATTAAATTCCTAAGTTCTTAGTTTTCTACAGTATTTAAATTACCAGTAATAATATGTTTATGATGTTTATCAACAAAATTAAAATATTTCTCTTTTTAACAGTGACATTCCTAAACGTATATATTAATTTTCCTTAAATGCTTGCTAATATGATATAATTAAATTACAGCTCCAAGACATTTATTATATTTAAAGCTTTTATTTATGTTAAAATCTTTTAATGGAAACAAATTTTAAAAATTTTGATTATTATAAAATTTGATCTTATCTGAAATAGGGTTTAGAAGGTTAATGATGAAATAAATTATTTAAATTTTTATTTTTATTTGGGAGAGTTTTACTCGTTTTAGCTTTTACAAGATCGATACAAAGAATTTTGAAGTGTAAATTAATAAAACAAAAGTTAATAATAAGATCTTGAAGCTTATATACGTCATTATTCTCAAGGGAGAGAACAAAATCTTTCATTCGTTTAATATTATAATGTTTATTAAAATCTTTTTTCTCATTTGAAATAAAATTTACATTTAATTTGTCACTATTCAGAAAGTTTTTACTACTTCCTGATTCCAGTTTACCTCGATTTGTATGCTTATCTTTAATATGAAAAAGTAAGTAAGTTGAGGAGTTATTAAAGTTAATCAGTGTATGTTGGAAGGTATCGTTTGGCCCATACGGCAAAATTGTTTCACATAAAAGCATGTAGTAATTTTCTTTTTGTAGTCTTAAATCCATATCTTCTACTATAACTTTTGATACTGTTAAAATTATGTTCTCTAAAATGATAAGTCTAGTTTATTGTTAATTTTAATACTCTTTATATCTGAACGGTGTTGATTAATTCTAATATTTAGAGAGTTACTGGTTCGTCCAACATATTTCACGCTACAAAAACCACAGGTTAACATATAAATAACATTTTTAATTTTACAAACAGATTTGGAGCTATCATTAACATGAATTATGTTTTTTGTAAATGTTAGGGCAAGATGTACATCTTTATCACCACATACAATATATACGGGTATTGGTTGCAATTCAAAAAATCTTTTACTTTCAGAGTAGCAGGATGTTGATCCGAAGGTCCACTCAGAATTAGGCACTTTGTACCGGGTACAACATCTAGAATAACTAAAATATTTAACATATTTTTTACCCAGCGCTAAATTATTATTAATATTCAAATCCATAAAAATAGGAAACGAATTAAAAACGGAAACAAAATGAAAACAAAAGTAAGTTAATAGAAAACTTATTAATTTTCTAAATTTTTTTCTTTTTTCTCTATTAAATTTTGGTTAAAAAAGATTAATGATTGATACAATGAAATATAGTCATTAAAAATCATAAGGAAGCTATTTAGTTGACAGTAGTTGAGTGTTAAAAATTAAGAACGTTAAAAGTATCTAATTATTATTATCATTATTATTTGTATTATTATTATTGCTATTATCATCATTGTTTTACAGAAAATGTCTTAAGCGCCAAGTTTAGCAAAATAGATTTTAATAGTAATTGATCAGGAAAGAGGGGAAAGTTTTCAATAAATTTAATGCGTCAAATGAAGTGAAAAACGCAGCAAGTGGTAAAAATAAAGTTATCACAAGGGTTGGACACAGAAAAATAAATCTAAAAGCGCAACACTACAAAGTTTAATTTTAAATTAAGTGAAAGAAGAAAAGGTTAGATTAAAATCGCTCACGTGATGATGAACAACTCAATTTTCTCGAAAAGATAAAAGTGTCAGGGATAAAAGTCGATTACTAAACTTTCTTCTACGAATTCATAAGAGATAAGGAGAAGAAAACTTTTCTTAACTTTAATTTTGTCGTAACTTTTTAAGCTATCTTTTATTGCTGTTTTAGCTTTTGTCATTATTGTTGAATTTTCCTTTAATAGAATTGAGTTTTCTTTTATTAAGTTGAAATTTTTTATAAGGTAAAACTGTGAATCTCCCAACAATTTATTTTCGTTACACACAATTTGCTTATTTTTTTCTATAAGCCAACCAGAGTTCCTAGGAAACCATGCAGCCCAATCATGGAAATCACTAACGAAGAAAAAATTCCTGGCAAAATTATCACACCGTATGGCAACGACATTTCTAGTAAGAGAAAAAAAATTGATTTCTGTAAATAAAACCAGAATATACGTTATACAAACCCTTCTTTATGTAATTTTTCGATTCATACGGTAAGGATTTCCTAGAAAATATGGTTTTCAACATTATTATTCTCATTACCACACATTTAGCAAAAATTCAAATCTGAAAAGTAATTTTACCGAATTAAAGTTTTTTACACCATGCTCTAAGGCATCATGAGGAAATGAATAAATTTTTGTAAATTAAAAAAATAATAATACATTTAAAAAAAGGTATTTAAACTATTTATTTGGTAATTTTTCCGTTCATATGTCAACGGTTTACCGGAAATTCTAATTTTCAAAACGATAGTTCCACACATTTAGTAGAAAATTCGAAATTGAAAAAGAAATTTAACCGAATAATTGGTTTTTACGCATTGATTTTCTTGTTATCTATGGCATCACTAAAAATTTTACCATATTTACCAAACCTCATCTCATATTAGAAAACCAAATTTTATTGTTAGTTTTTACCAAAACCATTACCAAAGCTCTTCCGTAGAAATTACCGAACTTTTTGGTGTTCCCATCCATAGAGTAACACAGTAAAATTTACCATATTTTGATAGTTTCAGCCTTAATTCTTTTTTCTCAGTTTTTTTTCTCCTAAAGTTGAACATTAGTTTATTAATTAATATTTCTATTAAGAATTTCTCAAGTTTTCTTTAGTTTGAATAGCTTGTTATTATTATTTTTTGTTTTTGTTAATAATTTAAACTTTTTTTAACATTAGGATTTGTAATTACTTTTAACACTAATCAGTCACAGTTGCTAAATTTCTTTAAAATGTATCAATCAGGACTAATTATAAGTGACTAATGCCGTCGGTGTGGCATGTGATGTCTGAAATAAGTGACCTTAAAGCCCAGATCTACCTCAAAAATAAAGAATCTTTCATCACATGAATCATCTTAATCTTGATATCTAAACGTCGAAGAATGTTAAAAATCTTCTTTCATCTTCATTTCCTCCAGTCTATGTTCACATAATGGGTTCTGGGCACATTCACTTATCGCCTACACTTGATAGATTGAATAGGGAAGAAGTAAGTCTAATAATAAATAAAATAAATTTTCAAATCTTTTTTTTTCTGAGTAAAACAGCACTTTTCCGCTAACAAGGCGCAATGTTTTTGTTTACTTTATTATTTATAGACTTAGAATATTGATTTTAGAAGTGTTTTATCCTTGATGTTTTATTTTTTAATTTTATATTTTAAAAAAATAAATTCTGGATATTAATTTTTTTCCAGAGTTGATTAAATTTTTTTACATTTGAACTATTTAGGCTACTCCTACAGTGACAAAAATTCCGGATCAATTAACGGTAAAATTGTGATATCAATCACCTATCAAGTCACAGTCAATCTATCAAATATCGGTAACACGTGAATATGCCCAAAATCCATTATGCGAACATAGACTGGAGCAAATGAAGATGAAAGAAGTTTTTTAATATTCTTCAACGTAGGTGCAGCATCTGTAACTCCATTTTTACCATACAATTTTATACAGTCATTTTTACAGTAATATTTATTTAATTACAATGATTCAGGGATTTTACCATACATATTATCGAGAAAATGACGGTATATCAGACTTTTTTGTTCCGTGAAATTTAATGGTAAAAATTGATATTAAGCTTGAAAGTATACCGGTGCTTTTTACCGTAATTTGCTCCTGAACTTTTTAGAGTGTAAAAAATTCTACATCTTATGCGCAGTAAAAAATTCAGGATCAAATTACGGTAAAAAGTGATGGCAGCATGGGTGCAACATCCGTGAAATGCATTTTACAGTAAAATTGTATATCGTCCTTTTTACAGTAACATTTGTTTAATTAGAATGATACAGTGATTTTACATTAAATATTACTGAAAAAATGTCGGTATATTAGATTTTTTATTCCGTAAAATTTTATGGTAAAAATGGATTCTACGATAAAAAGCACCGGTACCCTGAGTGACTGTGCTTTTGACCGTGATTTGATCCTGAACTTTTTACAGTGTATTTGAATAAATTACATCTTATTTATTTATATTGCCCCAATTCTCATATAAACTATCCTCAGCAGACAAAGCATAGATTAAAGGTCCCTTTAGGAGAGGCCATTTATTAATGATGTTGCACTTTTTCTTCTATATTTTTGGTCGTCTCTCTGTGTCACAATATATTTCACTTCCCAATATTCCCTAGCTCCTTGTCACATATCACTTTGTATTAGATATTGTCTATATATATACAGTTCAGAAATATACTGTTCAGAAATAAAACTCAATATCTTAAATCAAATTACAATTTCTTTCTCCTTTTAAACATTGACTATGTGCTTTGAGGACATTTGCGAACATAATAATAATACTGAATAAAATATTTATTTATTTCAATAGAAAAATTAAGATTTTGATCGAAATATGTGATGCCACACTTCGTGTTGTCCACATCCCTTCCTCCATGCGTGACATCATTTGCTGACAGTGACATCATTTGCTAATAAGGAACACCTTTACTATGCACAACGCTGTAAAAAATTCCGGATCAAATTGCGGTATCGACATTTTGGGTGCCTAACCATAAAATCCATTTTACCATGAAATCCATTTTTACAGCAAAATATTATACCGAAATTTTTATAGAAATGTTCATATAATTAGAGAGATTCAGTGATTTTGCGGTAATTATTACCGTAAAAATTACGGTATACAGCATTTTTAGCTCTATGACATATTCCGGTAAAAATGGGTTTTACAGTAAAAAATACAGTCAACCTGAGTGTCGGTACTTATAAAACGTAATTATTTTTTCGAATATTTTCATGTGAATATTTTTCTCTTCCATCAGATGAAACTGAGTTTTTTTTCACATTGTTTCCTTAATTGTTTTTTTCTTATTAACCGAAATCATTGTCATGAAATAATGTAAAAGAGATATTGTATTGTAAAGAAGTGCTATATGTTGTAACAAGTCATATATTGAACTTAGAAGGTTTCATGTGAAGTATGTTTTATGTCAGTTTTGAGCAAAGATTTGAAAAATCAATGAAAAGCAGAAAAGTGTTCTATCTCTTTCCCAATTACTATTTAGTCGAAAAATATAATGTTCTATTGAAATAATAATACGATATGTATTCTATTTTTAATGACACTTTGACAAGCCAAGCTTGCCATCCATTGGCTCTTTGCGAATTAAGTCTGGAGGGTACGTCTTTCGTTTGACAAGAGAGCATTGCATGGATGGAAGCACGTCTTAGTTCAGAATCCCAAGGATAGATGGCAGCCACTACCTCAATTTAAACATAGATAGATGAAGAAAAGTTTCTCTCAGTACCTGTTGACATGTTCAGCGACCAAACACAGAACTTTTGTTTTCATTGATTTTACGATTTCATTGATTTGGTAGGTTTTGGCAGAGTCGAAGATCGAACCCTGGCCCCTCCGAATTGCTGTCTGATTCTCTAATCACTAGGCTACCACGGCCCTATTACGATATTTTCTTAAAGATAATATTACATCATGTATAATTATAATAACGCATAATAATACACTGTTAGAAATTTCTCGGAAAAAATGGTTAAATAACAATTGATTGCATGGCTATTTCACCATATTTAATCAATACAGTCAAATAACCATAAATAAACTGGTAATCAAACTGCTAAGTTTAAGATAAACTGCTTATTAACTGCTTTCACCTACTACGGTTAAACAACCAGAATTTTATGGCACCAACTAGAACCACCTAATGAAGCTACTTAGTTCTTCGCTACTGCGTACACATCATAGCCGAGCGGGCTTATCTGTCAATCTCATGGCCATCAGAACTGGATCGAGTCCCAGTGTTGACACTATAATATTTTCTCCATTCCGTTCAACACGTGAAGAATTCCCAGTGTCCAGCACTCTCCAATGACCATTAACTTACGAAAAGCTGAGTTTCTATGTCTAGTTAAAAAATTATTACGTTTTTAAAAAATGCTAGTTGTAAATGGTTAAAAAACCGTATATTTTTGTATTTATGGTTTTATAACGATATTTTTGTAAATGGTTATAATACCATGAAGGAAAAAAAATTTCTTTTCCGTAAACTTTATGGTTAATCGGAAGGACAGACAGTTGCCAGTTATATTACCGTAATTTTAGAAGGAAAATTTTAACAGTATAATGTATAAAGAATCCGCAAAAAAAAATTTAATATGAGAAAAAACAAAAACAAGCCTCTGATGAAATATTGCAAGATTGGAGATATTTAACTTTGTAATATACAGGGATTTGATCGTGACCTCTGTAAAATCCAAGCTATTTAAAAACAGTCGACATGGCACCTTTATTATTATTTGTATTTGTGGTTCTTATGCATTCTATACTTTGTAAAAGAAAAGAGAATGAATAGACGTGTAAATGTAGCGATTAGCAATTCAAATTTAACCGCAAATGGCATTGGAAAAGAGGATTAGATTGATCTTTAGACTACACATAGATAGAAGTTCAATGTCCAGTTCTGAAAGCAAAAGGAAAAAGAAGTCATGTAAGACTCAGCGGATTTCGTTGTTTCGTTCTCTCCCTATTTTACTATACATTAAATAATTCAAATTCCATTCAAATTTTACTTAGAATATTAAGCAGACACCCCTACCTTTTTGTCAGCAAAATAAACAAGTTACATCCCCCCCCCATGTTTACGTAAGTAAATTGCAGCACCTCTCTTCCCTGGGTTATGCTTTAACTTTGACTGTAGTAATTTAAACTGAGGGAAAAAAAAGCATGGTCAAAACTACAAACTTACCGAGTTTCTAGTTTTATGGAAAAATTAGAAAATTCAGTAATTTTTACCGAAGTCCTTTGGTATTAATTTTGATAAAATTAACAATAAAATATTGTTTTAGAATGTGTGATAAAATATGGTAAATGCGAAAATATTTGATAATTTTATCGTGATATCTTAGAGCATGCTATAAAAACTATTTATTTCGTTAAATTTATTTTTCAGTTTAATATTTTTTAATAATGGTATAAAAAATTATAATTGGTATGTGTGAAGTATAAGGAATTATAACTTTAAAAATTTTTTTGTAAACCGATACAGAATGACCGGAAAAATTACCAAATGAATTGTTTAAATACCATGTATTTTTGGTTTAATAACCTGAATTATGTTTTTCCTTTTTTAAACTAAAAGATGTCATTACTATACAGTATGGTAATTTTAATAGATTTTTTTCCCTTGAGTTTTATGATTAATTTTTTATAAATAGATGTTATTTTGCATTAAACAAAGTTTACGTTTTAATTAATTTTATAAAATTTCTAACTTTTTTTTCGTGCTAAAAAATGTTGACCTATAAAATTCTGAGAAGAATTTTTTTTCTCTAATTTTTTTCTTTTCCGTAATTCAACATTTATTCCAAATTTTAAATTTTTCCATGTGTGTGTGTTTTTTTTTTTTTTTTTTTTTTTTTTTTTTTTTTTTTTTTTTTTTTTTTTTTTTTTTTNAATTTTTTTTTTTTTTTTTTTTTGCAAAACTTTTTATTTTGTTCCTTAAGAAACTTTTGAAAATAAGAGCGTTTTAAAGTCTAGCGTAAGCATTGCTCACGTTCCTTCTCCAGCCTCTTCAGTAAAAAGAAGCAAATAGCAACCCCTTCCCCCCCGTTTGTTGATTACTCAATATTTGAATTCTCTCATAGTGTGCACAAAACAGGTAATACATTTTAAATGCATTAGCAAAATCTGTTGGCTAATATAATAAAATGATTGCTGTTTCATCATGTTAATTGATTGTTTAGTACATTTTTTAAATATACCGACGATTTTTGTACATTGACTTACCCACAAATTGCCGATTTGCGGCATTATAGATAATGTCGTCATGGTAATGGCATTCACTAAAATTGCTTATAAGGATTTTTTGATTTAGCAAATTTCATAAACTTTTCCTTCTAAAATATCACGTGATTCTCCATCAAATAATTTTTATTTTTGATTGTTTTATCAATTTAAAACATCATATTAAAAGTAGGGGAGAGTAGGGTCAATTGTAACATTTTTACTTAACTATTTTTAACTAGCAAAAAATCCAATATATTATTAGTATTAATTGACAGACGAGTAAAGTAGACTATCCTGTACTAGAAAAAAATAAATAACTTATTTTAAATGTTATTATTTTGTTATTAAAAATGTTCGACAGTCGTGCACTTGTTACAATTGTCCCCACTTACGGGGTCAATTGTAACAGTTCATAAATTGAACTAAAACATAGTTAATTTTACATATTATCATAGTTGTGATATATTTTATTATTGATCAAAATAGTAGTGATATTTTAGGAGTAAAAATAATAATGAGCAGAGACCTAAAGGGTTAAACTTTTAACTTTAAGGGGCTAAAAATTTTAATTTATGCTGTGAAAGGTGACAAATAAAATAATTCACATGCAACATAATATAAATGATATAGGAAACTATTGGTGGTTCTTAAAGAGTTAAGCAATGGTTTGTAAACATAAGATTACTCATTTTCAGCTGTTACAATCGTCCCTTTACTTATTGTTACAATCGTTCCCAAGACGCCATTTCAGCTTCATTTGTTAAAAACAATGCTAGTTAATTAACAAAACTAATATTTTTTTTGAAATGTTAATTAAGGTGCCCACTTACATAATCGGTTAATAATTTTTATTTGTTTAAACAAAATTACTTTGTTACAATATGATATTCTAATTCCAAAAAAAGTACTTAGGTAGCGTGAAAAAATCTTTTGTGATGTAATTCTTTCAAAAGTACATAAAAATGGTTGCCAGAAGGGGTGTACATGTAGATTTATTAAATACACCTTGTGCGCCACCTAGGAATCAAATCTAGAACCCGACATTCGAAATGTTTGCTCTGTTACAATCATACCCTGTTACGATTGACCCCCACTCTCCCCTACTGTTTTAAATTTTGTTTTAGAAAATAAAAGTTATTAAAAACAATTTTACTAATATTTTTAAAAGATTTTAGATATCAAAATAAGCAAGCCAATTAAAAATTAAAAAAAAATTATTACAAACATTGTTTGATTTTCAAAAAAATGTTTTACTGTTTATAAGCATCATAACATAATGTTTTAATTTTGTTTTGCAGACGGAAAATCAACTGCAATACCATTTGGCAATATTTTTTTTGTTAGAAATATATTTTTAAATAAGGAGTCAAATTGTTTTGAAAACATAGTTTTATATTTGAACAAATTATCTTCTTTTCTAACTGTTTTAGCATTCAAAAGAATTATAAAGTAACATTTTAACTTTTGTTTTACAAAATTGAAATAAAATGTGTCGCTTTTAAATCATTTTTTTTCGCTTTGTGGTTGCATATCTAGACGATAAGGCAAGAAACAACTTTAAAGTAAGCTTTGAAACATTTATTGAACACATAATTTTGTATTCGCATAAATGATCTTCTTTGAGAAATCTATCAGCCTTTAAAAGCATCACTAATCATTTCGTTTTCTAAATTAAAATAAAATAAATACTCATAATTAGCATTTTTTTCGTATGTCGTATATTCAGGCGAAAATAAGCAATTTCAAAGTAAAGATGCAAATATTTTTTGGAAATATCGCATTATATTTTAAAAGATTATCTTTTCTAAGTATTTTAGCATTTTAAAGCATCGTGATGTATTATTGTAAATTTTGTGATACAAAATCAAAAAGAAATACTTTTAACCAGTGTTTTTTTCTTTTTAGTTGTACACAAGAAATTAACAATTTTAAAGTAAGTTCTTCAAATCTAAATTCTTTGATATTCAAACATATGATCTTTCCTTCAACACTTAAAACTATAGTGAAATAGAATTTCAAATTATTTTTTATACGAATAAAAATAAACTCCACTGCATTTTACAAATATTTTTGAAAAATGTAGTGGAGAAATTATCAAAAAATTTTTATAAATTTTTTGATACAAAATCAAAAGAAATACTTTTAACCTGTGCTTTTTTCTTTTTAGTTATACACCAGAAATTAACAATTTTAAAGTAAGTTCTTCAAATCTAAATTCTTTGATGTTCAAACATATGATCTTTCCTTCAACACTTAAAACTATAGTAAAATAAAATTTCAAATTATTTTTTGAACGAATAAAAATAAACTCCACTGCCTTTTACAAATATTTTTTTTTCGAATTTGTTTGATTAATAAATACTTTTATTGACACTATTATTTTTCATTAAATTTCCTTCCCCCTTTCAATCAGAGTAGTAAACAGAGCTCTCTCAATTCTGCTGAATTAGTACATCCTCTTACACGCCCAATGACACGGGTGGTCTGGGTCGGCTCCGCAAAAACATGTCCTCCTCTATTGTTGGCGGTTATTGGAAAGGAGGGTGTAGGAGGAGGAGGAAAACAGGCTCCGCCTTGACCCAAAAGGGTGTTGACGGATGCTCAGAGTGACTTTCTTCCTCCTCTTCTTCTAATCTTTATCTCAAGGATGCTCCTCATTTTAGAATGAACTGAGGGATGGATACCATGAATGCATCTTTATCGCCTAACTAAAAAGTCTTTTATAAAAAAAAAAAATGGGGTATGGAGTTTTTCAATTTGGAAGGATTTTATTCATGGTGTTATAAATCTTCAGAAAAACAAAGATTTTTTCGCCTAATATAACTCGCTTATATATTTTATAAAGGAAGTGTTAAAGCTAGTTTTTAAATCTTAACGCAAAACAAGTTCTAACCCAGATAGCAGGTAATCTTACGTCACAAAAAATCAATTTATATATATTTTTAGTTTTTATAGAAAAGTTGAGTAATTAATCCTTTTTTAAAACTTAGTAGAAACATAAGTAAACCTAGCTTGTTCTTGTTACCTTAAAGTTTAAGAAAATCCATAAAAAAATTAAAAAAGAAAAAAAACATTATTTAGCTTTGATTGTAAGCCTTTTATTCCCCCTCTGTTTCCTTCTAGATTTGTCTAAGCTCTCAAATGCAAAATTTTGTTTGTGTTAAAAACTTAATTATCCTTCACTTTTAAAGTGTTAATGGAAGCCTGAGAAATATACCTTTTTTAAGGAATGGTCATAAAATCTAAAATAAACCTTAAGAAGAGGAATCGGTTGAGAACGCTTTTTTACTCTTGATTTTCATAGGATGATTCAGCTTCGATTTCAGGATGTTTTTCTAGTCTTGTTTTGTAAAGGAAGATTCAATTTCGATGTAAAAGGGTTGTTAACATATGTTGAATGTGAACCTTGTTGTGAACAAACTAGAGTAGTTAAATTTAAAATTGTTTCAACTTGCATGGTTTATTTGTTAATAATTTATAAACTTTGTTGGGGTCTTAAGAAAAAGGTTGTTTCCGACATTTAAATTAACCTTGCACTACTATCAGAGCTCAAATAGGAAAATCAAGGAACTCACGTATTTTCTTAAGGAAATAGGTTTAAATGAAATTTAACAGCTTTTTTGTAACTTACAACTTATTTATGTATTCTTCTGCAAATTCGTTTACCAAAAGCATCTCATTATTTCTAATTTTAATCAAATATGATAGTAGGTGATTGAAAATTATGTTTCCAATTTTGACGAGCAATAACATGTAATAAAAATAAAATAAGGGACTTCTGTTATTTGCTCAAAACAAAGAATCAATTCAAGTTTTGTTTGTAAAATATAAAAAAAAATCACAATTAAACTTGCAAGCAATCCTTTAAGCATACCATTCGTGCATGAAAAGTATTTCTCAATTTTACTCTGGAATCTAACATATCTGAAAAACAGCTTTCAAGTTCAACTGTGAATTGATACTTCAAATAAGTGCTTTTAACTATTACTTACTGTGAACTGAACATCAAATGCGACAGAGAAAAAGTGTAATCCGAAAATAACTGACATACCTCAATTTATAAAGTCAGTAGCTGCAATAAAAATAAAATAATAAAAATTGAATATTATAAAACTAGAATATTATAAAAAGATATAAAATAAAATAATATGAAAGAAAATAACATGAAACGAAATAATTTAAAATGAATTAAGAAAACTTATTTAAAAAATGACTTTCCCTCTTTGTTCAAATAACAAAGTCATTTGTATTTCTTTGAATGTTATATTTCAATAGTAATATTAAGTGTTACTGCATATAAAAGCTCAAAAAAGTTTTGAATAACTTTATGCCACTAATTAGAAATTGTTTTCAAGTGCTTTTTAGGATTGTTTCCCAACTTTCAAGTTTAAATACTTTTATTAAATAAAATTAAAATTATCAAGATATTTTAGTGATGAAAAATTATTTTATTATAATCTTTTGATACGTTCTCTTTTATAATCTTTTATTTTCGTGAAAAAATTGAATTTTTAAATAAGATTAAAGCTCTTATTTAAAAGTTTGATTTTTTCATATGATTCTGAAAATGGTAATAATTTTTAAATGGTGATCTCTAATTCTTAAATACAAATAATTGTTTTTGAATTAAATCGTTGTAATGAAAACTCTATTTAAGAAGCAAAATACTATAACTTTAAGAATTATGGAAATATTGTCATGGGATATAATTGCATTCTTCGTAGAAATTTTTTAAAATAAAGTTTTGTTTTATTGTTCTTATTAACTATGAATTTTCGTAATCGTTTTATAGATACGCCTTATTTTAAACTTTTTGTGCTTGTTCTCAAAGATATTCATTAAAAGCGTTCTGAAATGCAAATGTTGTTTGTGCGTTTTTGAATTTTTAAGCAAATTTTTTTTTAAAAAATTAATGCAGAGAGCAGTTTGAAACTCAAAAATAATAATAATATCAATATACAATAAATATAGCAACGCTTGATTAATAAAAGGTTTATAAAACAAAACAATTTCTGAGAAAGAATAAATCAATTTAATGTATTGATATCTCAAAATTCCAGTCGCATTGAATAAATGATTATTTTTTATATGTAATTAGCAAGAATAAAATGAAAACAGAAGAAATCGATGTTTATCATAATAGAAGAAATTTACCGGAGTTTTAGTTGAAATAAATTATTGTAATACATGAAAAATTGAAAAATATTTCTTTGTGCAATAACCATGCTATTAAAATACAGATTAATATCAATCGTTTTTGAAATTAATGAAAATAATTTTCGTTTATTCCGAAAAAAATTAATTATCGCAGCATAATAGATAGCACTTTTAAAACCTTTAGAAAAATTACCTTGTCGTTAAAAAAATCTATAGATAAAAAAAATTCATAGTTAAAGCTATGTAACAGGATTAAAATGTAACAGGATTAACAGGATATAAATTGTTTTTTTTTACATTCATAAAACATGTTTGTTTACTCTGGAGAAGTTAATTTCAAACGGTATTATGTTTAGCAATTTTAAAAATTTTAGTAAAATTATCAATTTTATAAATTTTAAAATAAACTGAAAATTAAAAATATTAGTGTAAAACTATAAATAACTATTTAAATAATAAAATGAAAAAAAAGTTTATATTATTTCCACGTTTTTAATTTAAGAGCTTATTTTACGAAAAGAACTGTGGATAAAAAAATTAAAGCTGACGATTCTTTTTTTAACAACTATTTTGATTGATTTCTTTAATCAGAAATCGAAACGAAATTGGTTATAAGAATCAACCTAAAGCATAAAAGAAATAACTTAATTGTAAAAAGGAGGAAAATATTAAATTTACCTTTTCCATTCGTTTCCTTCTATCCAAAAACTAAAAAACCAATTAGTCTGGTCTCCACCAAAACTGAAAGTGCTTGTGACTTTTCCTAAAAAACAATTTATGAAGTTTATATTAAAAACTAAATGTTGATACAAGAAGGTGTTTTATTTATAAATTTTCTAAACTCATATCAGATACGATAAAAAAAATTATTTGATCTCTTTTTCCGTTGAGAGCTTAAATTCATTCTTCCAAATATCAATAAACATTGCACTAAAGAGAATCATTTAAATCATAAACAAACATCTATTAATGTAATCAATGATAAGAGAGTTTGAAAATATATGAGGAATAAATCTATTAGTTTGATTTATAAAAAATATTTGGAGAAATGAAGGAACCAAAGAGAAATAAATCTTTGTTTCTTTTTAATTTTAAATTTAATATTGCATTAAAGAGAATCATTTAAATCAAAAACAAACATCTGTAAGCGTAATCAATGATTAGAGAGTTTGAAAAGAAATGAGTATTCAATCTATTAAAGAGGTAAATGAAAATTATTTGAAGAAATGATTAAGAATGTACAAAAAAATTTATTTTTTATTTTTAAAATTTAAATTTAATATTGCATTAAATAGAATAATTTAAATCAAAAACAACATCTGTAAATTTAATCAATGATAAGAGAGTATGAGAAGAAGATTATTGTTACTATTAGTGAGATTTATGAAAACATTTATAGAAAAGATTTAATAAAAAAAGTAAGAAGTCAAAAATAAAATATTTCTTTATTATTTTTAAAATTTAAATCAATATTGAACTAAAGATGAACATTTAAATCACAAAAAAAACATTTGCAAATGTAATTCAATGCTAAAAGAGTTTGAAAAGAATTGAGAATTCAATCTATTAATGGGATTTTTAAAATAGAAATGACTAATTAAAAAAGGTAATAAATACGAAAATAAAATATATTTTTTTATTGTTTTTGGAATTTAAATTTAATATTGTACATTGCATATCTAATATTTTCTTTAGGAAAAAAAACATCAGTAAGTGTAATATCAACAATAAGGGAGTTTTTAAAGAAATTAGGATTTAATTTATCAGTAGGATTAATGAAAAATATTTAAAAAAAATTGTTTGAGAGGATCTGAGAATGAGATCTTTTTTCATTATTTTTAAAATTTGAACATAATATTGCTCTAAAATGAATTACTTTATATATATATATATATA